ATTTATTGCTGCTTCTGTGAACATGTGTTTAGGGTTGGTTGCATATCTCATCAGGGAACTTGTACATGGAGAAAGCTGATTCTCCCTTCATCACCATTCATTCATTGCCTATAGCTCTTCCTCTAGAGTAAAACCCTGTGAATTTTTCCCCCATCTATACTGGCATGTCAATTAGTGTTGTCATTATTCAGGTCCTGTTAGGAAACCTTATTGTGAAGATTTCATGGGCACAGGTTGTCTATCATGTCTAAAAGAAATTGTCTAGCAGAAAGCATCTTGTTCCTCTGGCTCTTACAATCGCTTGCTCTCCTGAGCCTCCCTGAGCCATAGCGTATGAGTTGTATTTTATGTGTATCAGTTAGGGCTAGGCACCACACGGATGATTATTGTCTGTATTTTTATCCACAGTGGAATTTTGTGATAGTCTCCATCTGTTGCAAAAATAAGGGGTATTTTTTGTTGAGTGGTGAGAGCTATTCTTCTCTGTGGGGATAAGGATAAGTATTTAGAATATGGCAAGAAATCATATTGACTTAGAAAAGCATCAGTGGTGGGTTCTTCTCTAAGGTCTATGACCACTCCAACCATTTGCACTTGGCTACGTTTATAGTACCACAATGCATGAATTCTCTGCCATTGTGTCTTAAGTTCATTATCCTCAAGATGAAAGTACAACTATTGTACCAGTAGAGATATTTCGCTGGTCTGGTCTTTGTTGTGGTTATTTGGATTTCTAGCTATTTAGGACCATTGATTGGTTTTCTCTCTTGGCAGCTTGAATAGCACTTCTTGATACCATGAGAGATAGTCACAGGGAGGAGACTTCCAAGTCAGTTCCAGTGCAATTGTGCCAAGTCCTGTGTCTATAGTATGTCGTGTCTTCAAAAATTGGGTCTTAGCTTCAAGTTCTGGGAGGCAACAAAGGTCTATGGCAATAACTATGTTATTTTGGGAGTTTCTTGGACTATTGTGACCAACAGCTTGAAGGGACATTTCCCTTGTCCGACACTAGAATTTTGTTAGATAACCTTCCCCTATTAATTAAAAATTATATGTGTCTCCCAAATGCTTGGATTAAAGGCATGCGCCACCATGCCTGACCTAAATATATGTGTATTTTAAAGTAGGTTTATGAAATAATAGTTTTTCAGACAACCTTAGTATTATTTTTCTCTCTTTCCTTGATGTCTCCCTGAATAACTTTCCTTCTCCCTAACCTGGTTAAAGTACCCCCTTTCCCATTTATTCCTTGATTGCACCTGTGTTCTACTATCTCATGAATTTTTCTTAACCAGGTATATATCTAGAAGACAAATATACCATATTTTGACTTTATTGATAAGCAGGAAGTTCTTATTTATTTAAAATGGTGGATTTATTAGTCTTGTCTTAGAAAACAGCTTGAGCTAAGCAATATGTACCTTATGACTTATTCTACATGTAGTTTAAAACCATCAAATTTGAATGTTTGTGCCCAATTAATATCATATATAAGAATGCTCTTAGAAGCTCTAATACAGATGCTGTATGACCACATAAATACATATATGCAACAAATACACCTTTTGTTGGTTGTAGTAACCGAGTTGAGTTTGTTCATTGTTGTAGCATGAACTAATGTATGCTTTTCTTTTCCTTCTCTGTTTTCTGTGTGGGAAGGTGTGTACACTTATGTGTGTACATGTATGTGGAGGTGAACAGTCAACATCAGATGTCTTCCTCAGTTGCTCTCCATCTTAGCGTTTGAGAAAACAGTCTCTCACTGAACCTGAAGTTAGTCGATTAGGGCAGACTGGCTGTTCCCAAGCCCCAGCCAGCCCATATCTATCTCCTCAGCTCTGAGATTACAGATGCATGCTACTCTACTTGACTGTGGTGTTGGTTTCTTATGAAGTCCTCATGCTTGCACATGGGCCCATCTCCCTAGCCTCTCTTTTCTTATTATACACTATATACACATATGAAAACATCACAGCATTCCCCATAGGTATCTGTCAGTTTTGCGTCAACAATCATAAATAAATTAAAATAAGGGTAAAATAACATTTTAAATAAATTATTAACAAAAATACATTCAAATTATGTCATAAGAGAAGCATAAAAATAAAATAATGAATTAACAGAAGAAAAAAAGTTAAGTACCTGGAGAAAGGAAAAAAAAAAAACCCTTTAGTATAAAAACTACAAACTGTCCCATAAAAGACTTGCTGGTGGCTATATAACAATTAAAATGTCTCTAAGACAAGGACTCTGTAAAAAAGAGGAAAAATATGTAGAGAGATTTGTGAGAAACCTTCCAAGACTCTCAATATCAACAAAACAGCTACATAGAAAGGAAAAAAAACATGCAGGGGCATATTTAAGAAAAGAGCCAAAGCTTCCTTGACAGCAGCCCAGAGAGTGACACATGGGAGGCAGCTGAGACCAATTCACAGTCCGAGCATAGGGAAGGCTATGTCTCTGAAGACACTCTCCTCTTGAGGATATTTCTCAGGGCTCCTTTCATATCCCGATTCCTCAGACTATAGATAAAGGGATTCAACATGGGTGTGACCAGAGTGTACAACACTGACACAATGACATCCTTATTACTAATGTTACTGGAAGAGGGGACAAAATACAACCCAATAATGGCTCCATAGTACAGAGAAACCACAGAGACATGAGAGCCACATGTGGACAAGGCCTTGCAGATTCCCTTTGCAGAGGGAGTTCTCAGGACTGTGGATCCAATGAGGCCATAAGAGACCAGAATGCACATGAATGGTACAGTAATGATCAATGATCCTAAAGTGAGGATAGCCAGGGTATTGATGGTGGTGTCTGAGCTGGACAGCTTCAGTAGGGCAGAGAGGTCACAGAAGAAGTGGTGGAGAACGTTGTCTTTAAAGAGAGAGAGACTAGCAAAGAGAAGGGTGTGCACAAGGGCATTGGCACAGGACAAGGCCCAGGACACAATTACTAGCAGGAAACAGAGGTTCTGACTTATGATTTGGGTATAGTGCAGAGGGTGGCAGATGGCCACATACCTGTCATAGGCCATTGACGTCAGAAGGAAACTGTCAAGAACTACAAAGATATTGAAAAAATATACCTGGGAAATGCACTCAGCATATGAGATGGATTGACTTCGTGTCAGCATATTCATGAGCATCTTGGGTACGATGACAGATGATAAGGAGATGTCAGAGAAGGCCAGGTGGCTGAGGAAGAAGTACATGGGGGTGTGGAGGCGAGAGTCCAGCCTGATGAGCAGGATGATGAGAAGGTTCCCCAGCACCGTGGTCAGATACATGGCCAGGAACAGGGCGTAGTACATGCTTTGGTCCTCTGGCTGGATGGGGAGCCCCAGGAGGATGAACTCAGACACACTGCTCTGGTTATTTCTCCTCATGCTCTTTTCTTCTGGTGGAGATGGAGGAGCAGATGGAAAAGTGAAAGAAAGAGGAGCGATGGTGACCATTGTATGGTAAGAAAACATTTTCTCAATCACCATCACTGTTAAAACCCATCATTTGGTCCAGTTAGTACATATATTTTTAATCTGAATATGAAGCTCTTTGCTTCATGAATGAGCTAGTGATGGTTTGGAAAGGAATGTGAATTGTCATCCTAGAAACAACAGAACTCCTGAACATCTGAAGTATTCAAATGACCATTGGAATCAGAAAAGGTTCCATCTAAGGTACCCTGAATTTCATGATGACAATTTGAGATCAGAGAATTCATGTACACATATAAATGTAATCCCTGCTAATAGAAAAAGAGATTATCTCATGTAGTTGTTAACCTGTTGGAGCCTTTCTGATATATCTATAATAAATTTTGGCTAATGCTTTATTTCCATGGATTAGATCACGATAAGAATCCACTGGGCTGCTTTGAATCTAGGAGATATTGGAATCTGGGGAAATGTTCGAAACCATATGCAGATTGGGGTAAAGCAAAGGGATTAAGGGTGTGAGTCTGTGTCAGCAATCAGTGACATCCCTCGCAATACATCCATCAGTTCTTCCCTTAATAAAATTGTTCCCCACTCAATATTTTCGCTCTTCCATCACTCTTTCCCAAGGCTGGACAAAATAATTATCTAGATTCTACATTACCACCTTCAGTCTAAAACACGTTATGGAAGTCCATAGAACTCTCGGAAATACTTGGCATTTTTAGCAATATTTTATATCTGCCTGGAAGTTTCTTGTGTTTTTCTAGCAAAAGTAAATCATGTCTTTTGTTTTATTCTTAATCACAGTTTTATGCCCCCATATTGTTACTTTATATGTATTTCTGGCATATGTTTTATATTGCTAGCTTATTATTCCCCTTTTATCTTCTATGATCTATTATTATTATTATTATTATTATTATTATTATATGTATTCAGTATTCACTGAACATCAAGGACCTATAGGAAAACAGAACATGACAAACTTTCAATTTGTACTCTATGTAAAGACATGTTAAAATAGGGTTTGTCTCTGTGAGTGGAGGATTCACATTATCTGCCCCATTTCCCTTTTAGAATGTTAATTTAAATTTACAATAATGTACCATTTATCCAAGACTGATAGAAATGCTCTTTAAAACGTTACATTCTTCATCTCATTAGGTTAAAATTCACTTAATGTGATATTACCTGAGATTGATTATAATTCACTACTTACTCATTTTTGTGTTAATAACAATTAGTTTCTCACAAAAAATGGTAATTATCTATTTGTACACAAGCAAATTGTTTCTAATATTTTGCTATTTTGAAAAATTGCAATAATCAATAATATTCTTATGCCATTTTATACCATATATACTATATGTGGTAAATTCAGGAATGGGTTTAGATGAACACGCATCCACAGTTTTAGGAAAATGTCATTGCACAGGAAGCTAAGATGCTAAAAAGTTTATGTATAAAAGGAGACCTTAGTAGAAGAACTTATATAGGAAGATTATAAAAGTCGGCACTCTTACTAAGTGTTTGGAGAGGGTAAGGCTAGGGCCTTTAAGAAACAAAGAATCACCAAGTCAATGACCAATCACATAAATATATACCTTGGAGCATATTTGAGGAAACAGAGCATTTAATGCATAGTTTGCTGTACTAGAGGTTTCAGTCTCTGCTACAATAGTACACACAAGAAAATGCATAAGAAATGGCTGAAAATGTCAAGTGACGGCCTGGCTACCAGGTAGGAAGCAGAGTACAGGAAGCAAGGAGCATCAAGAATCTGAATGTGAGAGGTTACTACAGCACTCTAGGTGGAAAGTCATGCTCTCCATACCTGAATTAAGGCAGAAATGACAGGGATTTAAAATAAAATATGGAAGAAAACACAGCAACACCTAACTGAATTTAAATACAAGCAAAGAGACATTTTTCCTCCTGTCTCTCAAAAACCAGATATAGACTCATGTGGAGAAAAATGATCCTATGTGGGATTTTTTGTCTTATTGATTCATAATTCATATAGATTCTTAGTACAATATAAATTACTCTATGTGGAGCTGTTTGCCATCTGATGGTGTGATCCTAGTGATTAGAAATACATGCCAGACTCCCAAACACATGCAGTCATACTAATGGAAGTAAAGTCTGTATCTGTTCTAACGGGGCCCCTCAGACAATGAACTCAGATACCTTTATCTACAAAGCACAGGAAGGTCCTTCCACTTCTCTCTAGAAGGCACAGAATACAGTGGAACAGTTGAACTATCTGGAAGGTTCAAAGTTCCATTGCAACAATCAGAAGCATAATCAACTCAGAAACAAACATGATAGAGAAATATATTTTGTTCACATCTTCTGAGAAATCTGCATGAGTTCTGCTTTTAGAAACCATGAAGAGGACCTCAGGGAGGGAGCAATCCCTCATCCCAAGCTCTAAATTAGAGATACATGGGATAAAATTGCTTCATTGTCATCAACTCCCTCAGGGGAAGAACTGACGGTGAAGCAGGCAGGAGGGTTCATCTTTGGAGGAATAACAATAATAACCACAGCGCAGACGTTGGGCATCTGGTGGTTCACACGCTTCTGGAGTTTTTAGATTTTACGGTGGGGGGAATGCAATTCTGTGACTTATAAACTGAGCTGGAACTTGAACATGATAACCATAGTCTCTTCAAAATTCTCCTTACAGCATAATTCTTGAATATGATATCACATGGAAGAAAACATACTTTATCCCTATGGACCATCCCATAAGAACTCTGTATCGTAGTCATTTTTTATTTATTTATTTTTTGGGGGGGTCTTTTTTGAGACAGGGTCTCCCTATAGCCCCAGCTGTCCTGGAGTTTGCTATGTAGACCAGGCTTGCCTTGAACTCATAGAGATCTGCCTGCCTCTGCCTCCGGAGTGCTGGGATTAAAGGCGTGTGCCACCACGCCCAGCTGTTTGTTTATTTATTTATTTATTTATTTATTTATTTATTGCATAGTCATTTTAATATAATTAGGTCAAAACATTACATTAATATTTCATTCAAACTCTATTCAGTAACTTCTATTATAAAGCTAAAAAGTTATTAAGCAGATAAGAATATTATATAAAGACTTAAAATTGATACAATTTACATAGTACTTTTTTTTTTAATTACATAAGCTGGGCATGGTGGTGCAGGTCTTTAATCCCAGAACTCAGGAGGCAGAGCTAGACAGATCTCTGTGAGACTGAGGCCATCCTGGTCTACAGAGTAAGTTCCAGGCCAACTGGGGCTAAAGCAAAACACTGTCTTAAAATAACAATTAGGGGGCTGGAGAGATGGCTCAGCATTAAGAGCACTGGTTGTTCTTGCAGAAGACCCAGGTTCAAATCCTAGCACCCATATAGCAGCTAACAACTGTCTGAACTCAAGTTCCAGGGGATCTAACTGCCTCTTCAGTCCTCCATAGACATTGCATGACACAGGTGCACTTACCTACGTGCAGGTAATACACAAATACACATAAAATAGAAATAGTAAATATAAAATTTAAAAAACAGACAATTTAAAAAATACATGTATACATATATATACATATTTATTTATATACTTTATGACAGAAGAGACCTTCCTTTGAGTTGTTGGTCAGAGTAGTCCAATAGACTCCCCAAATAACACAGGTTACTGAAGAAGCCCTTGGTTATCTCCCAGAACTTGAAGGGAAGATCCTACTTCTAAAGATAGGACATACTTTGGGCACAGAACTTGGAGCAGTGGAGATGGAACTGGCATGGAAGCCTTATCCCTTAAGACTAGCTGTCGTACTTCTAGAGGACACTATGCAAGTTTGTAAGGGAGAAAATCAATCAGTGGTTCAAGCCAGCCCTAGTGCCTAATAGCCACGATGACTGGCAAGGAAAACTACCTCTACTGGTGCAGTAATGGCACTGTTATCAGTTAATCAATAGATTTCTAATTAACTTAAAGATTTCATGAGTGGAACCATAATTATAGCCAAATATAAATGGCTGGAGAGGTCATAGATTCTAGAGAAAAACCCTATCTCTGGGATATCTTTAGACAAATGAAATTTTTTACCATATGTTAAATGGATTCTTCATATTTACAGACAAGTGTACCATGCACCACTCCTCAAAAAAGCCTTTTTTGTAACAGATGGGGCTATTACAGAGTTTCACAACTGGTCACACACAGAGAATATACATCTGAGAGATGACCAGCCTTAGATGACATATCTATAATGGAACCTGTACACCTAAGACTCATAGAACATAGCAGAACAAGGGATAGAGAGAATGCTAGTACATCCCTCAACTCTCACCAGTGAAGCTTCCTTATACAACAGAATGTGATGCACACAGAAGGCCACAACTGGCTAAGTTTTAGAGACTAAGAGACTGTAGAGTGTGTGACCCTAAATAGGACTCCTATATTAAAACTTGCCCACTCAAGGCTCAGGAATCATTGATGAAGAGGGGCTGGAAAGATTGTAAGAGCCAGCGTTGGTCTATGAAAATAGGGAAATAGAGGCTATCAGACCACTGTAAGTTTGCTCATGTGTAATTGTGGCAATAGTGGCTTTGTGTACAAGACCCATGCCAGCTCAATCAGACAAGAGCCCAGGGTGGAGTAAGAGAAATGGGCAGTGGCCAGCCCTAACCTGGAAACTGTTGGCAACTGACTACTGCTCAGTGAGGTAGAGCAGATCTTCCTTAAGATCTCTAGATGGGCTGACTAGACTCCAGTGGATAAACTTGTGCTGAAGTGCATCTGGCTATAAGTGCTTGACTGGATAGGACCTGACATATATGACGAAATGTGTGCGATCTTGTGTGGGCACACATGGGGGTATGGATAGGGGAGGGGATCTAAATTTGTGAAGAACTATTGTATGAAATGCACAAAAGTTAATAAAAATATTGTCAAAGATCTTAATATCTAATTTTATGAATATCATTGCAGTTATTTAAGTAAAAGTATAATAGAATGATTTGAATAGTTTTAAGATTAGGATTAATGTTTTATCTTTACTGTTAAAATTTTTATTTAATTTTTTGTGATTTTCATACAATATGATTTGATATTATTTAGGTCCGCTCCCCATCCTCACCTACCCTTATTGCCCTCTCATCCAATTTAATGTACTCTTTTT